TATATATATATATTTAATTGTCATAATAATATATGAGATGCATTCATTATGTTCTGACAATTTTATTGCATTTGTGGGTTGACATAAATCCTGATCAGCAAGATTTGCACATTTTTTTTGTAGGAATTAAAAATGGAGAAAAGCCAGTTATCAATTTTAAGGTACAATATTATTACTTTAAATGGAAACTCAAAGTCAAGCTGATTTGTAAATTTAGTTATTGTTAATTAATAAATATGATAATGAGGTTCTAATTAATTGTCGATAGGGTTACATGGTGGGAAATGCGGTCACGGACCCAAAATTTGATGGGGATGCTCTTGTTCCTTTTGCCCACGGTATGGCCCTCATCTCAGATGATATCTATGAGGTACGAATTTTATTTGCTTTTCTTTATTTGATTTTTTTTTTCCTTCCTCTCTTTCGCGACATGTCACATGAAGAATTGAAATCTTAGGCCTCGTTCATTTCACCGATTCGAGTTTTTAATTTCAATTTTTTAATAGTTAAAAACTCTCAGAAATAATCATATCTAACTTTTTTACTACAGTTAAAAATTATCACATAAAGTCACGTCTTAACTCAAATTGAAAATTCGAATCGACGAACTGAACGAGGCCTTATTATATTTCACTCTAAATTACATGCTTTCACCTAGTCTTCTTTTGATTCAAAACCTTGGGACGACTGACACCAACGATCACTCAAGAAAATATTCACTAGAAATTGTTTAGAAAAGTATATACAGAAATGTTAGCATCACTTTTTCTGACACTCTCTCTGTGTTTACTGTTTGACATATAGATTCTACTATCTTATTTTCTACTTAAATGATTATACATCACGTTAATGGAGTCTACGTGTCAAATAATTGATGTTAGTATTTCTCAATCATATACATATTTTTTAAACTGGGGTTAAGAGATTTGAACTTTTGACTTCAATATAAGGGATGTATGGGTTTTATCGTTAAATGATGCCTACAACGGCTATGTCACAGGAAGCTCGAGCTGCTTGCAAAGGAAACTACTACAGTAACTCTGAAAAGGGTCATTGCAACTCAAAACTTGTACGAGTAAGAGAGGTATATATACGCGGCTCAAAAAATAATATATAT